CAAGAGGCTGCTCAACTGAGGTGTGATGCTTCCAAGAAGCGAGTCAGAGATGCTACTCCTTCTTCCTCTACTCAAGTGGCCAAGCAGGAGTAGTATTGGCTTCCTCCTCCTCTGTTCCGTCAGCCGTATCAGAAGAGCAAAGGTGGCAGTGGATCTTCCCACCCACCCAACCCTTGCTTTCAGAACAAGACTTCATCTCAAGCTCCAAAATCGAGTGCTTCGTATCATCGTACGCTTTCAGAGGTCACGTGCAACAAGTGCCAACATAAGGGTCACTATGCCAACAAGTGCTTCAACCAGAGGCGTCTCCCTCCTCCTCCTCCTGTGAGATCGGCAAGTACAGTTGTGGTCAAGCATAACCCCAAGTACATCAAGGTCAACATGGTGAATGCAGCTCAGGCAGAGGACTCGTCAGATGTCATCATGGGTAACCTTCCTGTTAACGATGTTCCTGCAAAAGTTCTTTTTGACACTAGTGCATCGCATTGTTTCATCTCGAATCCTTTTGCATCTAAGCATGGGTGGTATGCTCAAGTTATGCATAAACCATTAGCAGTTGTCTCTCCAGGTAGATGTTTGCTCGCTAACTACGAGATTCCGGATATTTCTATCTCGATGGGTGATTTCAAATTTCTGGCTTCTCCAATGATCCTTGGTAACTCGGATATTGATCTTATTCTCGGGATGGATTGGCTTTCTAAGCACAAGGCTCAGCTTGATTGTGCAGCCAGGCAGATTCAATTGACTCATTCGTCTGAGGATGTAATTGTCTTTGCCGCTCGGGATAATACAATCCGTCTGTTTTCTCTCAACGAGAAGGGTGAACTCGATGCCATCTCTCAAATTCCAGTCGTTTGCGAATATCAAGACGTCTTTCCAGAAGAGTTTCCAGGAATGCCTCTGCACCGGCCAGTTGAATTCGTCATCGATCTTGAGCCTGGCACGGAACCGGTTTGCAAACGTCCTTACAAGCTCGGACCTGAAGAGTTGAAGGAGCTGAAGAAGCAACTCGATATTCAAGAGCGAATGGGTCTCATCCGACCTAGTTCCTCTCCGTGGGGTTGTGGAGTTCTTTTTGTGAAGAAGAAGGATGGAACGGACCGACTTTGTGTTGACTACCGTCCATTGAACAAGAAGACTATCAAGAACAAGTACCCACTTCCCAACATCAACGAGCTGTTCGAACAACTCAAAGGTGCCCAAGTATTCTCCAAGCTTGATCTCCGCATGGGTTATCACCAGATTCGAATTCGTGAGCAAGATATTCCCAAGACGGCTTCAGGACAAGCTATGGTTCATACGAATACATTGTCATGTCTTTTGGCCTCATCAACGCACCTCCGACTTTCTCTCGCATGATGAACTTCATCTTCAACGCCTACACCAATGACTTCGTTTTGGTCTATCTCGACGACATTCTGGTCTTTTCAAAGAACAAGGAAGATCATGCCAAGCACTTGCGTTTGGTGCTTGATAAGCTCAGGGAACACCAGTTCTACGTCAAGTTCTCCAAGTGCGAGTTTTGGCTCGATGAGGTTTTTTATCTTGGGCATATCATCTCTGCCAAGGGCATTGCGGTGAATCCTGAGAAGGTGTCTGCAATTGTGAATTGGGAACCACCTCAGAACGTGAAGCAACTCCGTAGCTTCCTCGGTCTCGCAAGCTACTGTCGAAGGTTCATTGAGAACTTTTCAAAGATCGCGAAGCCTCTCTCAAATCTTTCCCAGAAGCACGTCAAGTACGTTTGGTCTCTGGAATGTGACATCGCTTTCAACACTTTGAAAGAGAAATTGGTCAATGCTCCAGTTCTGACTCCTCCTGATGAATCCAAACCGTTCGAGGTCTTCTACGATGCCTCTCTTCAAGGGCTTGGTGCAGTGTTGATGTAAGAGAAGAAAGTTGTGGCTTATACCTCTCGCCAGTTGAAGCCCAACGAGAAGAACTACCCCACTCATGACCTCGAGTTGGCGGCAGTTGTGCATGCTATTTTGACTTGGAGACATCTCTTATTGGGAAAAAAGTGGACATCTTCACTGACCACAAGAGTCTCAAGTACATCTTCACTCAGCCTAATCTCAACCTCAGGCAGACTCGATGGGTCGAAATGATTCAAGAGTATAATCCGAGTATCGAGTATACTCCAGGCAAGGCCAATGTGATTGCTGACGCATTGAGCAGGAAGGCTTATGGCAACAGTCTGATTCTCAAGCCTTATCAACCCGAGCTTTGTGAACCTTTCCGCAAACTCAATCTGCAAGTTGTTCCTCAAGGTTTCCTCGCCAACCTTCAAGTCTCTCCTATCTTGGAAGACCAGATTAGCGAGGCTCAACTTCTTAATGCTATGGTGAAGAAGGTGAAGATTGGGATTGCCAAGAGCCAACCCAAGTACAAGTGCTACCGCCTTGATGATAAGGATACTCTATTCTTCGAGGATCGTATTGTTGTGCCCAAAGGTGACCTTCGTAAAGTGATCATGAACGAGGCTCACAACTCACTCCTCTCCATCCACCCTGGGAGCACGAAGATGTATCAGGACCTCAAGCAGGCTTATTGGTGGACTCGAATGAAACGCGAGATTGCTCAGTTCGTGAATGAGTGTGATGTCTGTAGAAGAGTGAAGGCAGAACACCAAAGGCCAGCTGGTCTCCTCCAACCTCTTGCCATTCCAGAATAGAAGTTTGACCACATTGAGATGGACTTCGTGACTGGGTTTCCAAAGTCCAAGTGTGGCAATGATGCTATATTCGTTGTCATCAACAAACTCACTAAAGTGGCTCACTTTCTGCCTATCAAAGAGTCTATCACTGCAGCTCAATTGGCGAAGCTGTATACCTCTCGGATTGTCTCGTTGCACGGTATTCCATAGGTGATCTCTTCAGACCGTGGCAGCATCTTTACCTCCAAGTTTTGGGATTCTTTTCAGAAGGCCATGGGCACCAACATCCGCTTCAGCACTGCTTTCCATCCTCAAACTAGCGGTCAAGTCGAGCGTGTCAACCAGATTCTTGAAGATATGCTCAGGGCTTGTGTGATCTCCTTCGGCATGAAGTGGGAAGATTGTCTTCCATATGCTGAATTCTCCTACAACAACAGTTTTCAAGCAAGTTCGGGCAAGGCCCCATTCGAAATTCTGTATGGCAGGAAGTGTCGTACCCCTCTCAACTGGTCTGAAACCGGTGAACGTCAACTTCTGGGAAATGACTTAATCACAGAGGCAGAGGAAATGTGCAAAGTCATTCGAGATAACCTCAAAGCAGCGCAATCGCGCCAGAAGAGCTACTATGATAGTAAGCATCGTGATTTGGCTTTCGAGAACGGAGATCATGTTTACCTCCGCGTCTCTCCAATGAAAGGTACTCGTCGCTTTGGTATCAAAGGGAAGCTTGCCCCTAGATACGTGGGACCTTTCAAGATCGTCAGCAAGAGAGGGGATCTCGCCTATCAACTCGAGCTTCCTTCAAACTTTGCAAATGTTCATGACGTGTTCCATGTCTCTCAGCTCCGCAAGTGCTTCAAAACTCCTGAACGCACCGTCAACTTTGAAGACATTGATCTCCAAGAAGATCTCTCTTATCGTGAGCACCCCGTTGCTATTCTTGAAGAGACTGAACGCAAGACTCGCAATAAGTCAATCAAATTCCTCAAAGTCAAGTGGTCACACCATTCCGACCGTGAAGCCACCTGGGAACGTGAGGATCACCTCCGTTCTGAGTACCCGGCGTTCTTCGAGTCCTAGATCTCGGGACGAGATCCTTTCGTAGTGGTGGAGTGTTGTAACACCCCGGATATGATTTACCTAATATGTAATCCAACTCTTGCCGTTTCCGGCATTAAGTTATTTTATTTTCTCGGCTAGCTCCGGCCGGATCCGGTGAGATCCGGCCCGGGGACCCCGTCCCCTTCTTCGGCCTCCCCCACCTCTACTCCGGCGCCCCCGCGCAAGAACTCCGGCGAGCTGCTTCGGGAACCGTGCCGGCGATCCAGATCCAGATCGGGAAACCCTAGGGTTGACCTTTTTTTCTAAGTCTGTAGATTATATTGCCATGTTCATCGTGCCATAACTTTGCATCCGTAGATCCGTTTTGGTCATATAGCATATCAAAATGTTCGTCTCAGAGCGCTCATCATTTCATCTCATTACATCATTTTCATTTGAGTTCATCTTGATGCCCAAAATGCTGTTGGAAGAGTGCTACTTGAGATAATTGTCAGATCTGCTGCTCCAAATAGCTATTTGTCATTTTTGCCATGATTATTGTGTGCATGATATGCCCATGAGCTCTACATGTGTTTTGTCATATGCTTTGTCATCTATCCATAGGTGCCATCCATGTATTTTTGTGATGTGTGTGGTGACTAGCACAAGCTTGCAAACTGGTGCATTTGTTAATGCTGATTTCAGGGACTTAGCAATTCTATCAAGTCCTTGATCTGTTTTTATCAATATGTCATATGTTCATGTTGTTTCCTAGTGATTCGTGTCTCTTTTGAGGATGATCAGTAAGGATGATTTGTTAATCTTGTAGTGCTCTATCCATCCATGTCTTTGTTTGCATTTATGGAGCACCCTAGCTCGAGTAAATCGAGCTCTACTTTTGCTATTTCGTGAATCTGGGCAGATTGTCTACTTGTTAGCGATTTTGCCGAGGATGTTGTAGTTGATCCGTGCATGCTATAATATTGTTCTTGCCATGTCTAGCTTGTATAATGTGTATTCTTGATGGGTATATGCTTATATTGTCATGCATTGCTCTATAGCGAGTGCATTGAGCTCGTAAACATTCCAGTTCGATATCTGATTTGCATGCTCCAATTTTTCTCTAAGTCTGAGATCTGATTATGTTTTTGCCATGTTCACATGCTTGCAATTGTATTTTTTGATCTCTTATGGCTCAAGGTCACTAAGAGACTTTTGTTAAGCTCTGTGAGTAGCTCCATGCCATGCCTTACTTTGCCATACTAAATTCATGTAGCATATAGTTTTCATGCTCCAAAGTGTGCTACCTGATCTGAAATTCCAGACAAGTGTTAATTTCACTAAGTCTGGAATCAGTTTACCAATTGCATTTTTGTCATGCTTATTTGAACCTGTTAATGGATGAATTGGCCGTAGCTCAGTGTTCATCTTTTGTTAAGCTTCATGAATGGATCCCTGCTATGTATTTTGTTGCCATATTTGGATGCTGTAGCATAATTATCTTGATGCATTTAAATGGCTATTTGCTGTATATCGCAGACCGGTGCCATATTTGAATTGCTTGCCATTTCCAAACCGTGTCTCCGATTCTGGTGTCCTTTATATCGATTTCAACCGAAATCACCTCACCTTTCCAGTGGCACACTTGGATTTCCATGCTGAGGCCAGATTCTTTCATTCCTTGTCAAATCTTGCATATGCATCACATATCGCATCCCGCATAGCATACCATGTTTGCATCATGTTGTTTGAGCTTTGCACGTGGTTGACTATGTCCTTTTTGCTTGTTTCTCTTGTTTGGGTAGAGCCGGGAGACGAGTTCGCTAACGAGGAGCCCATTGAGTTTGCTTTCGAGGATCCAGTCAACTCTGACAACTTTGCAGGCAAGATGATCATACCCTCGAAATCACTTCTATCTTTGCTTTGCTAGATGCTCGCTCTTTTGCTATGCCTATGCTACGATGTCTACCACTTGCTTAGCATGCCTCCCAAATTGCCATGTCAAACCTCTAACCCACCATGTCCTAGCAAACCGTTGATTGGCTATGTTACCGCTTTGCTCAGCCCCTCTTATAGCATTGCTAGTTGCAGGTGAAGATTGGAGACCGTTCCTTGTTGGAACATTATTTTCTTGTTGGGATATCATTATATTATCTTGTTATCTTAATGCATCTATATACTTGGTAAAGGGTGGAAGGCTCGGTCTTTTGCCTAGTGTTTTGTTCCACTCTTGCCGCCCTAGTTTCCGTCATATCGGTGTTATGTTCCCGGATTTTGCGTTCCTTACGCGGTTGGGTGATAATGGGAACCCCTTGACAGTTCGCCTTGAATAAAGCTTTTCCAGCAATGGCCAACCTTGGTTTTACCATTTGCCACCTAGCCTCTTTTTCTCTTGGGTTTCCGGAGCCCGAGGGTCTTCTTATTTAACCCCCCCCCCCCGGGCCAGTGCTCCTCTGAGTGTTGGTCCATCTCGTCAGCCGCCGGTGGCCACCAGGGGCAACTCTGGGCTGGCCTACCGGAAGTTTAGACAACTGAGTGTGCCCTGAGAACGAGATATGTGCAGCTCCTATCGGGATTTGTCGGCACATTCGGGCGGTGTTGCTGGTTTAGTTTTACCTTAGCGAAATGTCTTGTAACCGGGATTCCGAGTCTGATCGGGTCTTCCCGCTAGAAGGAATATCCTTCGTTGACCGTGAGAGCTTGTCATGGGCTAAGTTGGGACCCCCTGCAGGGATTTAAACTTTCGAAAGCCGTGCCCGCGGTTATGGGCAGATGGGAATTTGTTAATGTCCGATTGTAGATAACTTGAACCTAAACTTAATTAAAATGAATCAACTGTGTGAGTTACCGTGACGGTCTCTTCTCGGCGGAGTCCGGGAAGTGAACACGGTGTTGGAGTAATGCTTGCCGCAGGTTGTTCTCTAGTTATTCGTTCGCGCTTTGCCTTCTCTTCTCGCTCTCTTTTGCGAACAGGTTAGCCACCATATATGCTAGTCGCTTGCTGCAGCTCCATATATTTACCTTGCCTTACCTATAAGCTTAAATAGTCTTGATCGCGAGGGTGCGAGATTGCTGAATCCCTATGGCTCACAGATTACTTCCAAATCAGATGCAGGGCCTGATGACTCCGTTCCAGATGACGCGCTTGAGCTCAAGTGAGAGTTCGACGAGGACTCACGTCGTTACTATTTGTTTTTCCCTGATGATCAGTAGTGGTGCCTAGTTGGGGCGATCGGGACCGTGTCGCATGTTAGGTTGATCTTGTATTTTGGCGGCCATGAGTGATTGGATGATGTAATGATATTTATGTACTTTGTTTGACGTGAGTGTAAGCCAACTATGTAACTTCCCCTTTTATTATCTATATTACATGGGATGTTGTGAAGATTGCCTTATTTGCGACGTGCTTTCAATGCAGTTATGCCTATAAGTCGTGCTTCGACACATAGGAGATATAGCCGCATCGAGGGCGTTACATGATATCTATTCAAGATATGACCCTAATTTGAAATTTTTTTCAAGATCTGACCCTTTTCCCTTTTGCTACCGCCAAGGTCCATGCCCGTAGGTTATAACTGCCTACCGCCAAGGTCCCTGGCGATAGGGTTGCATACCTTACTATAAAATTTTGCTAAGTATTAAACACAACCATGACAATAGCAAAAGACGATAGCAAAAGGGTCAGATCTGAAAAATATTCAAATAGATATCAAAAAAGGGTCAAAACATGGAATTTTGCCGCCGGCAACTTGGCGAGTGCGCAACAAAGCGGATGCCGTGGAATCCGGGTCACGCACTAGGGCGCGCCGTGCCGTGCCGTGCCCTGCCCAGCCCACTGCCCTGTAATAAAAGACCGTGCAAGATTCGTACGGGCCAACAGCATCAACCCACGTAGCCATGTCGGGCGAGATCACGAGATCTCTGGAGACCCAAGCCTCTGCATTCCCATCACAATAACCTATCATCAGTTGAGTTGAGTTCACATCAGATCAGAGGTGGCAGTACCCCTACCATTTACAGACACCATCAGCTCAGCGGCAAAGCCTGTCACTCGCTGTTCTTTCCGGTCAGTCAAACCTCAACGGATTCCATTCCCGCCCCCGCCCCGCCCCCGCCCACAGTGGAACGCAAAGGCAGCCGCAGCAGAGATTCACACACTTTCGGCCAACAAAAAGCATAGCACGTTGCGCTGCACTGCGTTCACCAGGGGAAGGTGAGCGAGGGGGAGGGGGCTACCGGGCTCAAAATATGAACTAATAATAACCAAAAAATAAAAGGAGAGCCGATGTTCCGAAAGGAAGCGACGAGCGTCTCGTCGTATGCTATCTTCTCTTTCGCCGTTCTCTCGAGCCGGACGGGGGGAGGTCAAAAATGGCGCTGGCAGCTTCACTGTTAATGTAGTCGACATGGTCGGTGCCTCGGACCAGATCAGGATCAGGTCGTCCTATGAGCAGAACAACCTCCTCTGCACAGGCAAAGCATCGGGGTGAGCACGAGTTCATTTTGGAATACAACCGGTTGAGCAGGTCTAATTGTAGACGGCGTACCTTGACTCTTGACGACTCCTGTACAGCTTCCAGAGTCTCCGCCAATGAATTCTGCTTCGCCACCGTCGCATGCAGTGCCTGATCAAACAACCAAAACTTCGCATAAAACACAATGCACGCATCCACAAAGAAGCAAAACAATACTCAAATAGCTTTGAGGGATAAAAACTGGAGACACATGCCCCAACTGGGTGAGAACTCTCAAGTCTGATTCGGTTAGAAACTTACTCTTTTGGTCCTCTCCAGGTCGGCCTCGATGGATCTGATGCGCTCGAACGAGTTCAGTAACTGTTGCTCCTTGTCCTCGGGCATCTCTGGTGGCTTGCTTGCAAGATGGTTGCACACGGATTCAAGATTTTCAATGCGCTGTAAGCAAGCACTCATCTCATCAGCGCTGATGGTTCGGGGCTGCGGCTTCTCTGCAGCTGGGACTGCCACAGTGGAAGGCCGGGCGTTTTCAAGCCTCCTTAGTGCTCTACTAGAGATGAAAAGCTTGAAGAAGGAGAATAGCTTGATCAAGGCTGTCACAACTTTAACAAGATTTTCAAAGCCCCATCGGACGATTGAACCATCCAGGTTGCCAACATTGCTCCCTGCCATTAGTAGAACAAACAAAATTAACAATGAGGAAGATAACACTTGCCAACTGGATCAATTGATGGATTCATAGATATCACCAAGGATAGATAAAGCAGTAACTTCGTGCAAGTATACTATCACCAACGAGGCAAACAGATTCATCAGTAAATATCAACAAACAATGTACTGTATGGTACATTAAATGAAACAGTCCTCTGGGAGTACATTACACAGGGCAACTGTTCCTGGGAGGTATACGACATGACCTGTACTTCATTCTTTCCCGTCAGAATTTGAAGTGTTTTATGCCAATGCCTTCCAATCTTCCATCTAGGAATCTAGCACACACAACCTAGGCATCTAGCATTGCAATGCCATTTTTACTTCTATCTATTATTCTATGGATGCATTGTTCATGCAACTGAGAAACAAACAATGCAGCTCTTGAATTTACAAGGAACACAGATTATTTTGGTCAAATAGACTAACAGACAATTATCTGGAATCTTAGGCTAGAGCAATCAATCAAATAGACAGCATATATAGGCAACTAAACATATACCAAACATAGCAAGCTGCGTAACAATTAAAGAGATAGAGTTAAATAAGAAAAATGCAACGGAAGAGATGGTACCTAAATCACGAGGGCTTCCATTGGTGGAAAATTGCCGGTTATCAGCTAGTTGTTTTGGCACAGTTTCAGTAGTTCGCCGCAGTCTCCTACCAGTTTCAAGAGACGTTTCCAGGGAACTCTGTTCGTAACAGACATAGTAAGTTGAATCTATGCCCTTTACCTACAGCAAGTATAAATACTGAAAACAACTCATAGAAGGTTTCACATAAACGATTAAAATAAGTTGTGGTGGTAATAGCATGGCTTTTAATGCTATAGAAAGCCAAATAGAACAAAGCTAATCACAGGTGTACGAAACAAGAATAAAGCATTGAACTCACTTCCTCATGGACTGGAGTGAGGCAGCCATACTCAGCACCTTTCGGAATAACTGAGGATCCAAAGTCATCAACATCTGATCCTGATTCAGCATTTGATGTGTCACTCATCATGCCCTGCCACTGTAAGTAAGTAACACATAAAAAGTTAGAAGCAGCAATCAGTTAGATTTTAGCTTGAATGCTAAGTATTATTTCAGAATCTTGCCTTCAACTGCTCCAATCGAAGAGAAGAATCGCTTCTTTCTTCGCCTTCAGAAACTGGCTTGATATCCCGCACAGAACCAGCCTCGAGATTGTGTATCAGCTACAAAGGGAACATGTATAAGCAGTTGTACAAAATATAAGCAATCAGACTGTAAAAAAAACAGTACATTGACGAAGACATTCACATAATTACAGTGTCAAAAATACCTTCAAGATATAAGGATCATTCCATGGCCCCTTGTTAGACCCAAGACAACCTCCCTTGTCAATACAGGTGCATGAACCACCAAGAAACTCTGGTAACTCACTGAGAGGAGCACACAACTATTGTTAAAATGTTGCAGAATGCAGAGAACAGGCCGAAGCATGTATCACAACAAATGGAATGGGCACGGATTAAGATTAAACTTGTTCCTCAGCATGATTTTACACTGACCTTGGGTCAATTACTTCAAGAAGTCGACTCTGGTAATTCGAACCAAGAACCTGCATTAATAAAGGTTAAAAAATTAATTGACGCACGCAAAATGGACTGGCATGATCCTGACAAATAATCCATAGGGCTTACATGAATCTTGGATGAAGTTTTTGGGTCAAGGAAGCCCTTCACACTGTTCCAGATCAACTTGAACCCACTGCCCGCATTTACAACAAACATTTGATGCAATGTCTGCAGTTTTATAATTTTAGAATCAACGCTCCACCATGCCAAAATGCTAGCATGAAGCATTGCGGCACAAAATTACCTCAGGATAATAGTCGCTGTCTATCTTCTGCATGCGATGTACTAGCTCCCTTGCAGTCTTGGAGAAATTTTTAAAACCCTGAGCATGACAAAACCATTGATGAGAACACATTCAACAAAACGTTAAAAAACAGATCAAGATATACAAGCGTAGATGGAAAAGGATGATTCACATACCACACCCTGCACATCCAAGATGGTGGTGGTGGAGTCAATGTGCCTCTTGGCAGCCAATGTGCAGGCAGGGAACTTCTCTCCGAAGGCCCTCTCAAACTCCTGCACATGGTACTTGATGTACCTGTCCACAGAGGTGATCTGCATGAGCTTGTTAGGGTCGACCTTGCCGAGCCTCTCGATGTACACGGGCCGGCCTTCGCGGTCGACGCCATGGTAGCCCTGAGGGTAGTAGCACAGCACCTCATCCAGCTCATCAAACTCAAAATCCTGACCACATGAACGAGTCGAATGTTAGGCATAAAGCAGAGACTCCTTGTTCTGCATTTTTGTTGCAGGTCGGTGTGATCACCTCAAGGATTGTGTCGGCCCCAAACTCTTTCCTCCATCGCAGCATGTCTGCCCACATCTGCATTGCCTTCTCGGCGTCAAACTTCCTCGCCTTCAAGAACCTGCATCACACATTCATATGGCGAGTTTCAGATCCTGGCATTTCACAAAGCTATCCAAACAGCACAGGGCAAAAACAAAAGGATAAGGGGGGTGGTTTCGCGACAGACAGGACCTTAGCATCATGTGGTAGTCGTCGTGCTTGTCGGGGAGGAGGCCGTGCGCGGCCAGGCGCTCACGGAAGGCGGAGACGGCGCGCTCCTCCTCGGCGTCGCGGACGTCCTCGATGGAGATGGCCGGCGGGAAGCGGAAGTCGACGCGACGCCTGCCGCGCTTCTTGAGCGCGTGGATGGCCTTGCGGCGCAGCGACCCTATCTTCCGGCGGCGGCGCTCGTCCTCCGAGTTGCCGTCGCAGAGCGATATCTCGATGTCGTCGGCATGGATCACTGCAGAGAGAGAGCGGCGCCTCACACACACTTCCCCCCAAGAAAAAAGAACACGCAAGAAGGATGACGCGGACACCGCAACGGCAGTGCTCGTTCTTACCCGACATTTTCTCCTCCAAATTCGACTTCTTGGACACACCAGCTCGGAGCCCGCGTTCGAATGGCGCTCTGCGGGAGAAGAAATTCCGAAGGATTACCAGTCAGTCGCAAGAACAGGAAAAGAGGACTTGAAAAAGAACACACATTTGTTGTGGCAGGCGGGAGTAAACCCTGCGCTGCGCCACAGATCTGAGCAGAGAAACGGAAGGGCGCAGCGGAGCAAAGGGCGGAGAGAAACGATTTGCGGTTCGCAGGACCAGGAGGGGAACCTGCATTGGCCACTAAAAGCAAGCGCCGCAATAAATTCCGCGCAGAGAAACGGCATCCCATTTATTTCAATCCTAGGAAAGAACCCTCCGGAACAGAAGAAGGAAAAAAAGGCGGAGATCGAACCTGCCTGACAGGCCAGCCCCGAATCCCTACCCAAAAACAGGCCGGCTCAAGAACAAGAAGATAGACAAAGAAAATGGAACCCAAACCACCTTCTCCCCTCGCCGAGGCAGATCCAAGAAACCAAAGGAAACGACGCGCACGGAGGAGGAAGAAGAAGAAGAAGAAGCGTAGGACTCCAGATTTCTGATGGGTGAGGGGGCGGAAGGGGCAGGGGAGTTGCATACATTTACGGCGACGCGACGAGAGAATCTTGGCTTGGGGCTTGGGACAGCAGGCAGGCGGGCAGGGGCGAGGCCGGAGCTCTCTTTTCCTTCTCCCCTCGGGTGGAGCTCTGCTCTGCTGCGTGCGTCTCTCTCTCTCGCCCCCCACCTCTCTCGGCTCGGCTTGCTCCTCGGGGTAGGTAACTGAAGGGGAGTGGCCGCCGGTGGTGGTATTACCCTTATTTATTTGTATTTTAGCGTAGGGTATACGGTGGGTGTAGGTATATACATACACCGGGGGATGTGGGTACCCTACGGGATGGCCATTCCGTTCTCTTCTCGCCGAGAAATGTGGGGCGTTGCTTTCGGGTGGGACGGACGGACCACTTCTCCCTACGTTTTGCAGCATGCCTTTTGGGTCCCGAGATATTATCCCGTTCCATTAATGCTTTTTAAGACGATCCATGCAAAACGGAGTGTTAATCTCCTGCCATTAGCGCCTGTGGCGTTGGCACTGTCTGATTAAGGCTTTGATGATGATTCACTTGGAAACGCCCCCGTGGTGAAGCCCTTTGAATGGCTTCTAATGGGGGCGTATCGAAATGGGACTTGGTGGTGGTGGACCAATGGGAGTTAGTACTACAGATGTATCCAAAAGAGATATGGGCACATCATGTTTATCTACTTGCCTTTTGTTTTACTCCAAACGAAAAAGACTCATGTTTGGCGTGCTTAAACTTGGTAAGAACGGAAAGCAGCAAAATTGAGATATGAAATAAATGCAATATTATATATACACCATGTTAAAAGCGCGATATTGCACGCCAGATAGAGATATGCTAGAAAATCTTACATAAACATGAAATATTTTGCCTTTATTTAATGGACCCTATTTATTACCGGTTCACGCGCATTGCTGAAAAAGGTGAAAATACATATGAATTGTTGAAGTTGATTATTATGTAGTTATAAAATATTTTATTAATATTATCAGAGTGGTAGAATAAAAAGATATGTATCTTTCACATGCATTTTTGCTTACTCGTGTGGCTTGTTAGATGATGTGGAAAATAGATTGCTCAAGAACTCATAACTTGTTACATAGGATTCATAAAACCATATGTATAAGATACTACAACTCTTTTAAAATTGACCCAAGCAAATCATAACCATTGGATGGCTCTTTTAAATTGTGTTCTAACTACTCGTTTGTCTCAACATATGCTAATTTCAATTCGTTATCCAATGCGCCCTACACGTGTCATGACCAACATCCCATAATTAAATATTGCGTCGGGGCACATCATCAAGATTGTAGGTGTAGCGAAAATAGTTATTCGGAAGATGGCTTCGGACTGATCCATGTATTTTGTTTTGTTGGGTTATGTGCAATATATAATAAAATGGTTATATGTATCACTGTGATGCAGGGGCCAAGGTATTCCTCTTTTTTGAAAATAATAAAAATTAAATAGTACATATTAATTAAGTATTATGTACATACAAGTCGTCAAGACCGATGGTACGGTGTTTCTGCAAATAACATAGCAATACAAAAGCAACCCGGCCGCAAGTGCGGGACAACGTGACAACTATCAACAATACCTAACGATAATTGCTATAGTGAGAAACACTTAAGAGCATCTCCAACCGTTCGGCCCCTCAGGGGCTTGAAATAGCGCCGTCTGGGGGCGGACCGGTGACAAATTCGGCATGTCGGTGGTAGGTTTTCCAGCCGCCGCCCCAAGGTCGCCCCAGATGTCGTTTTTTAAAACCATACTCAGCCAAAATTCGGCCAAACACGACACAGAATTGGGCGAAATTTAAGCGTTCCATTGTTTTTGTACATATTTAAAACATAATTCGAAAAAAAAACGACTACGCCGCCGTTGCCGCCCGCCGCAACCTTGGGCCTACACGCAGAAGATCTTGCAGAAGGCGATGTAGTCGTCGCGGTCGTCCTCCTCCTCCTTCTTCACGCCACCACTCTCCTTGCTACACCCCTGCCCTGGATCACCTTGGTGGATGGGTTTGGTTGGCGGCGGTGCCTCGTCGTCGATGTCCTCGAGGACAATGACACCGCCCTCGTCGTGACCGGGGCGCCGAGCGGCGATCTCCTCGAGGGTGTGGACGTCTCCCCGAGCGGCGATCTCCTCGAGAGGGCGGGAGGGGGAAGGAGAGGGGCCACTGCGGGTGCGCCACCCGAGCGGCGTGTCCACGGGCTCGGCCTTGACCGGGGCGAGCGCCGGCAACCCGGAGGAGCAGGAGCAGGAACGGGAGGAGGAGGAGGAGCCGCCCGCCATGCGCCTTGTCAGACAAGAAGAGTTGCCGCTCCGGCGAGGGTCGGGGCCGCCGGGTACTCGAGGATGGCATGGAGCGTGCGGCTCGGGACGCCTTGTTGGAAATATGCCCTAGAGGCAATAATAAAATGGTTATTATTATATTTCTTTGTTCATGGTAATTGTCTATTATTCATGCTATAATTGTGTTATCTGGAAATCGTAATACATGTGTGAATACATAGACCACAACACGTCCCTAGTGAGCCTCTAGTTGACTAGCTCGTTGATCAAAAGATAGTCATGGTTTCGTGACTATGGACATTGGATGTCATTGATAACGGGATCACATCATTAGGAGAATGATGTGATGGACAAGACCCAATCCTAAGCATAGCTCTAAGATCATGTAGTTCGTTTGCTATAGCTTTTCTGAATGTCAAGTATCATTTCCTTAGACCATGAGATTGTGCAACTCCCGGATACCGTAGGAGTGCTTTGGGTGTGCCAAACGTCACAACGTAACTGGGTGACTATAAAGGTACACTACAGGTATCTCCGAAAGTGTCTGTTGGGTTGGCACGAATCGAGACTGGGATTTGTCACTCGGTATGACGGAGAGGTATCTCTGGGCCCACTCGGTAATGCATCATCATAATGAGCTCAATGTGACCAAGTGGTTGATCACGGGATCATGCATTACGGTACGAGTAAAGTGACTTGCCGGTAACGAGATTGAACGAGGTATTGGGATACCGACGATCGAGTCTCGGGCAAGTAACGTACCGATTGACAAAGGGAATTGTATACGGGATTGATCGAATCCTCGACATCGTGGTTTATCCGATGAGATCATCAAGGAGCATTTGGGAGCCAACATGGGTATCCAGATCCCGCTGTTGATTATTGACCGGAGAGTCATCTCGGTCATGTCTGCGTGTCACCGAACCCGTAGGGTCTACACACTTAAGGTTCGGTGACGCTAGGGTTGTTGAGACATTAGTATATGGTAACCCGAAAGTTGTTCGAAGTCCCGAATGAGATCTCAGACGTCACGAGGAGTTCCGGAATGGTCCGGAGGTGAAGAATTATGTATAGGAAGTCCAGTTTCGGCCATCGGGAAAGTTTCGGGGTCACCGGTATAGTACCGGGACCATCGGAAGGGTCCCGGGGTTCCGCCGGGTGGGGCCACCTATCCCGGAGGGCCCCATGGGCTGAAGTGGGGAAGGGAACCAGCCCCTGATGGGCTGGTGCGCCCCCCTTGGGCCTCCCCCTGCGCTTAGGGTTGGAAACCCTAGGGGTGGGGGGCGCCCCACTTGGCTTGGGGGGCAAGCCACCCCCTTGGCCGCCGCCCCCCTTGGAGATTGGATCTCCTAGGGCCGGCGCCCCCCCTAGGGACCCTATATATAGTGGGGGGGAGGGAGGGCAGCCGCACCCTAGCCCCTGGCGCCTCCCTCTCCCTCCCGTGACACTCCTCCCTCTCCTTGAGCTTGGCGAAGCCCTGCCGAGATCACCGTTTTTTCCACCACCACGCGGTCGTGCTGCTGAATCTTCATCAACCTCTCCTTCCCCCTTGCTGGATCAAGTTGGAGGAGACGTCTTCCCAACCGTACGTGTGTTGAACGCGGAGGTGTTGTCCGTTCGGCGCTAGGTCATCGGTGATTTGGATCACGACGAGTACGACTCCATCAACCCCGTTCTCTTGAACGCTTCCGCGCGCGATCTACAAGGGTATGTAGATGCACTCCTCTCTCCCTCATTGCTAGATGACTCCATAGATTGATCTTGGTGATGCGTAGAAAATTTTAAAATTCTGCTACGTTCCCCAACAGTGGCATCATGAGCTAGGTCTATGCGTAGTTTCTATGCACGAGTAGAACACAAAGCAGTTGTGGGCGTGGATATTGTCAATTTGCTTGGCGTTACTAGTCTTATCTTGATTCGGCGGCATCGTTGGATGAAGTGGCCCGGACCGACCTTATACGTACGCTTACGTGAGACTGGTTCCACCGATTGACATGCACTAGTTGCATAAGGTGGCTGGCGGGTGTCTGTCTCTCCCACTTTAGTCGGATCAGATTCGATGAAAAGGGTCCTTATGAAGGGTAAATAGAAATTGGCATATCACGTTATGGTTTTGGCGTAGGTAAGAAACGTTCTTGCTAGAAACCTATAGCAGCCACGTAAAAACTTGCAACAATAATTAGAGGACGTCTAACTTGTTTTTGCAGCATGTGTCGTGTGATGTGATATGGCCAAAAGGATGTGATGAATGATATATGTGATGTATGAGATTGATCATGTTCTTCTAATAGGAATCATGACTTGCATGCCGATGAGTATGACAACCGGCAGGAGCCATAGGAGTTGTCTTTATTTATTTATGACCTGCGTGTCAACATA